CTTGAAATATGCGCCTACAGTGCCTTCCCAAAGTATTCATACCCCTTGACTTATTCCACATTTTGTTGTTACAGTCTGAATTCAAAATGGATAAAATATATATTTTTCTCTCACCAATCTACACACAATACCCCATAATGGCAAAGTGAAAACATGTTTTAGAAATGTTAGCAAATTTATTGAAAATGAAATACATATAAATATAAGATGCCATTGGAACACTTGTTAAGAGAAGATACGGCAGCATTATGACAACAAAAATATTTTTTATACTGATAGGCACTTATTATACACCAGCAACACACAGTTGACCTGGCCCTATGTAACATGTGTTCAAATGATTTAAACGTTTATCAATTCACAACTCACAAGTGTTGTTTCAGCTATTCAGAATGGAAAATGTTGAAATCCTTGACTACTTCTCCCAAATTTGCCATGATAAACTAATAAGCTAATAACTGTTATCAACTCTGTGCTCAGGCCCTATCTATTCTGTTCTCTCTCCAGCTGCGGAAGAAGCTGATCCAGTGTGGCGATACAAGCTGCTTGCACCCTCTGCTGGCCTTGGTGTCTTCCAAGGACTGGCTGCTGCTGCAGGGCCACGGCCACTCGGTCTCAAAACGCATCCTGGAGGGCCCGTGAGACGAGAGCGCATTGAGGGAGGCCGTGGCCTATCTGTCCATCGCCATCATGGCCTCTGGTGATTGGCTCTTGTCATCTGATCAAGCATAGGGCATAGTTTTGGATCCATCATTATTTGTGTGTGTGTAGCTAGGTAGCTCCTCTGTGATAGTTAGGAATGTGATTTTTCCTTATTAATCAGAAATTCCTGCTTTTGGGACATTTATCCTACATTCTTATGTAATAGAAACTGACCCGTCCCATTGACAAAATTCAGATTTTCAAAATGTTCCACATCGTTGAAAAAGGGTTTCTAATTAAATCATGCTGCCAGATTATGAGGTTTATACAGTATGTTTTGACGGTAGATGCAGCTCTGAAGCGTGAACACTTGATAAAGTGTAGCTTTGCAGTGTAGCTTTGCCGTTATGTTACGAACAGTAACAAAAGTACAATGTATATTTTATGTATACAAAGATTCATGGTATTATAAGCAATATACTGTAGATAATGTAAGGTCTTCTCCTTGTAGGTGGTGAGGCAGCAGACTCTTTGCTGGAAAGGGCCAGATGTCATGCCTTGTTGAGCCAACGCATGACATCCATCTTTGATTTCAGCGCCATCTTGAAGGGGCACCCTGACCATGTACAGGCACTCTGTGGATGAGGCTTCACCTACCTCATGCTAAGCCAGCAGAAGGTACTAGGACCCCAACATGGGAGGTTCTTATCCGACTGTACATGCATGTACAAACAATAAAGACAACTAAAACATATCGACCAATCAGATTGCTTGGTCTGAACTAACCTTTTTATAATCACCTTTTTTTATCTCACGCAAGACAAAGTAATCAACTCTTATTACAAGACAAAACAATAAACTCTTATTACAAGAAAACGCAATTAACTCATATTACGAAACAAAACAGTCAACTCTCATCATAATATGTACTCACACAGTTGTCTGTGTTACTGTAGGCAGCAGCCCAGGGAGCAGGCAGTGCCCTGGCTCTCCTGACAGTGGCTGTGCGAGCGGGCCGTGGCTGACCTGGATCGGGTCATCCAGAGCCATGGGGGTCCCTCCGAAGCTGCCTCCCGAGCCCCAGAGGAGCAGCACATCTGGGACGAGGACCTGTGCCAGCAAGGCCGCAGCCTGGTGCTGTGCTCCCATGAGGGGCCCGCCCCCAACGACTTCACCCGGGCCCTAGAGCTCCACCGAGGCAAGGCCCTGCAGTGTGTGGAGGCCGGACTTGGGAGGTCCCGTCTGGCTGAGTGCTTCCTGTGGATGGCCCTGCAGCACTACAGAGAGCAGCAGCTCAGTAAGGCCTGGAGGCTGACCGAGAGTGGCCTAGTGGTGGACAGCGAGCACACGGAGCTGCGCAGCCTCAGGGCCAGGGTCAAGTGGGAGCACTGTACCATTGTAGTGGGTACCATTGTAGTGCCTCTGTCCCTTGAGATATCATTGTCGACAAAAAACCCTTCCAAGGTATAGCTCACTCAGAGTAAGCCTATGATTTTCCTGAGGAGATGCTTGAGTGATAATGTATGTTTGGGGGAGTGATTTTGGAAACTCAAATGACACTATACATACAAAAGTATGTGGACACCCTTTCAAATTAGTGGATTTGGCTATTTCAGCCACACCTGTTGCTGACAGGTGTATAAAATCAAGCACACAACCATGCAATCGCCATAGACAAATAGTAGTAGAATGGCTTTACTGAAGAGCTCAGTGACTTTCAACGTGGCACCGTCATAGGATGCCACCTTTCCAACAAGTCAGTTCGTGAAATGTCTGCCCTGCTAGAGCTGCTGTAAGTGCTGTTATTGTGAAGTGGAAACGTCTAGGAGCAACAACGGCTCAGCCGCAAAGTGGCAAGCCACACAAGCTCACAGAATGGGACCGCCGGGTGTTGAAGAGCGTAGCGCGTAAAAATCGTCTGTCTTCAGTTGCAACATTCACTACCGAGTTCCAAACTGCCTCTGGAAGCAAAGTCAGCACAATAACTGTTTGTCGGGAGCTTCATGAAATTGATTTCCATGGCCGAGCAGCCGCACACAAGCCTAAGATGACCATGTGCAATGCCAAGCGTCGGCTCGAGCGCTCCAAAGCTCGCCGCCATTGGACTCTGGAGCAGTGGATACGCGTTCTCTGGAGTGATGAATCACGCTTCACCATCTGGCAGTCCGACGGACGAATCTGGATTTGGCGGATGCCAAGAGAACGCTACCTGCCTGTTATGATGAGTTTCTCAGGTATCAAAGAATCAAGGATGCAAGGATATACTTAGACATTCTATGGAGATTTCATAGCAAGTATTTATTGAATCACGAGCTCGTGGGTTCATCTAACAAACGGACATGGCTTTGCCCTTCGTCAGTTGAACTAACTTGAACAAAGACACTCTACCTTATATACCCTTCTGTTACCATCTTCCTAACATACATCTGGCAAGTCTCCATGGGCACTCCCTGTCTTTGATGTTCATCACTCTTTACCCCAAGTCAGTATCCTAAACATCACTCATGCTATCCTAAATATCACAAATCTCCTTTGACATAATGGAATGTAGACTTCATGGCCCCAAACCACTCATCTCTTAACTCTTCCTCTGTCCTCACAATACTATGACATGACATCATTACACTGCCCCAATGCATAGTGCCAACTGTAAAGTTTGGTGGAGGAGGAATAATGGTCTGGGGCTAGGCCCCTTAGTTCCAGTGAAGGGAAATCTTAACGCTATAGCATATAATGACATTCTAGATGATTCTGTGCTTCCAACTTTGTGGCAACAGTTTGGGGAAGGCCCTTTCCTGTTTCAGCATGACAATGCCCACGTGCACAAAGCGAGGTCCATACAGAAATGGTATGTCGAGATCGGTGTGGAAGAACTTGACTGGCCTGCATAGAGCCCTAACCTCAACCCCATCGAACACCTTTGGGATGAATTGGAATGCCGACTGCGGGCCTAATCGCCCAACATCAGAGCTCGACCTCACTAATGTGACTGAATGGAAGCAAGTCCCCGCAGCAATGTTCCAACATGTAGTGGAAAGCCTTCCCAGAAGAGTGGAGGCTGTTATAGCAGCAAAGGGGGTACCAACTCCATATTAATGCCCATGATTTTGGAATGAGCTGTTCGACGAGCAGGTGTCCACATACTTTTGGTCATGTAGTGTATCTTATTCAAGGTAGCCAAGGTAGTGGGTTCGATCCCCTGGACCACCCATACACAAAAAAAATATAATAATAATAATAATTGTATGCACGCATGACTGTAAGTCGCTTTGGATAAAAGCGTCTGCTAAATGGCATATTATTTTATTATTATTATTATTCAAAGATAGGCCTAATAGAATAATGAGTGTTTCCTTGGGTAGTGTTTTGTAGACATTACTATTTGTAGACATGGAAAAGTCATGGAATAAATGTGTAATATGTGACTATTATGCAGTCATGATACTTATTTTGTTCCTGGTATTTAATAGAAAATTACGTGGAAACAATGGGTATTCCTTCGTGCTTACAAAGAACAATACTTCAACACAATATTGATACCTGGTACAACACAATATTGATACCTGGTGCTTGTTTGAAAGAATCCCAAAGGAACAAACAAGTATCACAAATTATTGCTGTGTAATTACATTTTGCTATTTTACTACATAACTAGTAAGACGGTAAACTATTTTCAAAAGATGCAACTACACACAAAGTTTTTTTATTTCAATTCATTTTCATTTATTTTTGAATTCCTGTGTAATAAACCAAATCGCTTCTACAGCAATATTTTTTTTTACATTCAATTTGTTACATTCAAGTTGAATAGTGATTCTGTTTCGTTTTTCCAGCCTCAATAACGTATCAGTGAGACAACTCATGATTGTGGTCTTTCACTATCAAGGGTGACCAAAGCACATGACAATTGATACAGAAATCTATACAATCCAAAATATCACCTTGAGATTAAATAGTTATTTTAGAAAGTGCCCATGTGCAGGTTTTACGTTTTAAGTCACTATGTGAAAGGGGCACACATTTTAGTTCACATAATTATAAATGTAATCTTATCTATTTTGGGGATAGCAAGTTACTTTAGAAACAATAAACACAGAAAATAAATACTGAATGAGATAAGATTAAAATGTGTAGTCTGCATAATACGTACGTTGTTTGAATGAAACCTGGTATGAAATAAGAGTGATGATATGATGATAATGATGTATAATGAATTATGTTTACATAAATACATATAGGAATGTACAGGTAACTGCCAAAATAATGGGAACACTTGAGTAATTGAGGGATATGTTGGTGTTTCCTTTATTTCGGAAGTTACCTGTATACGTTCATGAAAATCTTCCTCTGGTTTTGTACTAAGCGGACACAGTGATGTATTGAGGCTCCATGTTGCCAAAGTAGGATTTCTCCCACTCACTCATCAGGTCAAAGTGCAGTGGGCGGTCACAGAAGGTGCAGGAGACAGTCGCCGGCCCGTTCAGAAGGAGCCCCGTTTCTTGCCACACCTCCACGAGCCTCTCTGTCAATAAAAGTGAAACGTGTCAAACACAAAGAAACGTGAGTCACGGCTAACACAGCTAATAGTATTTGCTGCAGTATCTTATTTTAAGTCTACAGTGAATACACTGAGAAAGGATACTATTGGTAGTTGAAGTTTTCTTTCTCCAGACCCCCGATGTGTCAAATATGACCATTGACCATTAATGGGTTGAACACCACCGGACGTATTCACAAAGAGTCTCAGAGCTGATTTAGGATCAGTTTTGCCTTTTAGATCATAATGAATATGATTATATAGACAGGGGGGACCTGATCCTAGATCAACACTCCTACTCTGAGACGCTTGAACAAAGGCCAATTCTACGGGAAACCTTGTCAGAGCAGTAGCAGCAGGTGGCTTTGTCACTCACCCACAAAGTACTCCATCATTGCGGGGTTGTGGTGAGGGGAGGGAGCCAGACGCAGCAGCTCCTCGCCTCGGGCTACGGTCGGGTAATTGATGGCCTGGACGTAGATGTTGTGTCGCTCCAGCAAGATGTCACACACCTTGGAGTTGAGCTCCGCATTACCAACCTGAGAAATGACAATGCATGCACACACACACAAATACAGTCTATCATCTCGATAATGAACTTAGTGTGCCGTGCTCAAACATGTTCAAAGTACATCCTTGCATCACTGTCATGTACAGAATGATCAGCCTGGGAGCCAGTCTGTTTCTGCTCTCTTGCCAACTCCTTATGGAATTCAATAAGGGTTTGCCAGAGAGCATACAGTAAACTGGCACTGAGGCTTCAGAGATAGCTTGAGTGGTAAAATATTTTGATAATAGATTACATGTTGTTTCTGGGGTAGGCAGTGGTAGAAAAAGTACCCAGCTGTCATACTTGAGTAAAAGTAAAGATACCTTAATAGAAAAGGACTCAAGTAAAAGTCACCCAGTAAAATACTACTTGAGTAAAAGTCTAAAAGTATTTGGTTTAAAATATACTTAACTACACTGCTCAAAAAAATAAAGGGAACACTTAAACAACACAATGTAACTCCAAGTCAATCACACTTCTGTGAAATCAAACTGTCCACTTAGGAAGCAACACTGATTGACAATAAATTTAAAATGCTGTTGTGCAAATGGAATAGACAACAGGTGGAAATTATAGGCAATTAGCAAGACACCCCCAATAAAGAAGTGGTTCTGCAGGTGGTGACCACAGACCACTTCTCAGTTCCTATGCTTCCTGGCTGATGTTTTGGTCACTTTTGAATGCTGGCGGTGCTTTCACTCTTGTGGTAGCATGAGACGGAGTCTACAACCTACACAAGTGGCTCAGGTAGTGCAGCTCATCCAGGATGGCACATCAATGCGAGCTGTGGCAAGAAGGTTTGCTGTGTCTGTCAGCGTAGTGTCCAGAGCATGGAGGCGCTACCAGGAGACAGGCCAGTACATCAGGAGACGTGGAGGAGGCCATAGGAGGGCAACAGCCCAGCAGCAGGACCGCTACCTCCGCCTTTGTGCAAGGAGGAGCAGGAGGAGCACTGCCAGAGCCCTGCAAAATGACCTCCAGCAGGCCACAAATGTGCAATTGTCTGCTCAAATGGTCAGAAACAGACTCCATGAGGGTGGTATGAGGGCCTGACGTCCACAGGTGGGGGTTGTGCTTACAGCCCAACACCGTGCAGGACGTTTGGCATTTGCCAGAGAACACCAAGATTGGCAAATTCGCCACTGGTGCCCTGTGCTCTTCACAGATAAAAGCAGGTTCACACTGAGCACATGTGACAGACGTGACAGAGTCTGGAGACGCCGTGGAGAACGTTCTGCTGCCTGCAACATCCTCCAGCATGACCGGTTTGGCGGTGGGTCAGTCATGGTGTGGGGTGGCATTTCTTTGTGGGGCCGCACAGCCCTCCATGTGCTCGCCAGAGGTAGCCTGACTGCCATTAGGTACCGAGATGAGATCCTCAGACCCCTTGTGAGACCATATGCTGGTGCGGTTGGCCCTGGGTTCCTCCTAATGCAAGACAATGCTAGACCTCATGTGGCTGGAGTGTGTCAGCAGTTCCTGCAAGAGGAAGGCATTGATGCTATTGGACTGGCCCGCCCGTTCCCCAGACCTGAATCCAATTGAGCACATCTGGGACATCATGTCTCGCTCCATCCACCAACGCCACGTTGCACCACAGACTGTCCAGGAGTTGGCGGATGCTTTAGTCCAGGTCTGGGAGGAGATCCCTCAGGAGACCATCCGCCACCTCATCAGGAGCATGCCCAGGCGTTGTAGGGAGGTCATACAGGCACGTGGAGGCCACACACACTACTGAGCCTCATTTTGACTTGTTTTAAGGACATTACATCAAAGTTGGATCAGCCTGTAGTGTGGTTTTCCACTTTAATTTTGAGGGTGACTCCAAATCCAGACCTCCATGGGTTGATAAATTTGATTTCCATTGATAATTTTTGTGTGATTTTGTTGTCAGCACATTCAACTATGTAAAGAAAAAAGTATTTAATAAGATTATTTCATTCATTCAGATCTAGGATGTGTTGTTTAAGTGTTCCCTTTATTTTTTTGAGCAGTGTATCAAAAGTAAATGTAATTGCTAAAATATACTTAAGTATCAAAAGTAAAAGTATAAATCATTTCAAATTCCTTATATTAAGCAAACCAAAATTAATCTCTAGAAATGCTATACCCCTTTAGTCATAGAAATGACCCAGTTAAATGAGAGGTGCACAGACAATCCACATGCTTCTTAATTTGTGTCAACTAGATTATTATTTGAGATGATTCAACTATCAGGATGTGATGATTTTTTAAAAGGTTTAACAGGTGGCTTGAGAAGGAACTATCAATGTCTTGGTGCAGGAGGACAGAACTACCAGAGAAACAAGAAGTTGAGAAAATGGCAGGGCCATGACACAGTAACTCTCATAACTGGAGTGAAATAGCTAGGGTATCCACTGCTCTTAACGCTGTAGTAGTAATAGAACATGTACTACAGTACCCATAATACTCTGCACAACATATACAATGGTCTCCCTCCTGTCTCCTTATCAACACAAATGATGAAGTAGCAGTGTAAATGTAGTATCTCTTACAGTACCTTTATTGGGATGATGTGGCTGGGGCAATTGACCACAGGCAGTCCTTTCTCCAGGAGCAGCTGTCTCATGTGTTTGACGTTCCTCTGGTGGGCCCTGCGCAGCGCCTGGCCCTCGGAGCTCCTCAGGACCCTCACAGACTCCAGGGCCCCAGCCAGCACCATGGGGGGCAGCGAGGTAGTGAAGATGAAGCCTGCAGCGAAGGAGCGCACCGTGTCCACCAGCGCAGCGCTACTGGCAATGTAGCCCCCCACGCAGCCAAAGGCTTTACCTGCAGCAATGGTGAAGAAGAAGAAGAAGAAGAAATAGAAGAGGAAACAGAAGAAGAAGAATAAATAATGATTCAATGGAATGCTTTGTATATATACAATAAAGCCATATACAGTATCTATAACTTACAGATATAGTATAACAAACACACCTCAAATCACAATGAACCATTATGGTTATGGGAGTTAGTGTACACTATTACTGGATTTTGGAAGCGATGGAGTATTCCTAGTTCAAATAGTGTTTATCAAGTTTGAATGTGACCCAATGTGACCTAGCTAGGTTGACAACCACATACTCTGAAATAAGTAGGCCAAAGACTAGATTTGCTAAATACCCCCTTGTCATCTAAGGTAGCCTTTATAAGCGCTGATCTAAAGTAATATTGAGTTCTACCTTCAAATGGTGAAGGTTAGGATTGAGAGAAGGTAAGCTGACCTTAGATCTGTGCATAAAAGGCAACTTATTCCTTGAGCTATCCACAGAAACTGCTCCTAGAGAGACTTATCAGCATGACCAGACTGGGTGTGTGGGAGCACTTCCACAGCTGATACGTATATCCCCTGGCCTGCTTTCTCTGTCGTGCCCTCGGTTAACCAACACCAGCGCATGATGAAAGTTGTTACTGCGATGTCAGCAATATAAATGTGTCAGTTAGTGCATGATGACCAGCATTAATTGGTTAAATGGGACCTATTCCAAGGAGAGACTCAAATCTATCTCTGCTGTGAGGGGCATTTCCCTAGCTCTGAGACAAGCTAAGACAGACAGAGACTAAATGGTTATAGCTATTATGGAACCTGCTTCCCTGTAAGTGTGTATAATAACAATAATTAAATGAATTAATAAAAACATATTACTAGTTCACTTTGTGGTAGTAGTCACAAAAAATCTAGACTTTTTTAGATTCTTGAAATAAAACAAATGAAATAAGTGGGAATCAACTGATGTCCCTCGTTGGGCTAGGGAAGAACTGTCCTTGTTTAAGCAGACACATCTGTTTATTTGATCTTTTATTTAACAAGGTGAGTCCCGTTGACATATTCATCTCTTTTTTAGGTGAGCCATGGGCAAGAGGAAGCACCAATAGTACAGAATAAAATGCAGTACAGCATGGTACAAAATATACTTATAAAAACAACAACAAATCCATAAAACATAGATACTCTTATCAAACCTGTTTATTGCTTACCCAAGGTTCCAGAGACAATGTCAATCTTGTGCATGATGTTGTCTCTCTCTCCCACACCGGCCCCTTGGGCTCCATACAGGCCCACAGCATGGACCTCATCAACAAACGTCAAGGCCCCATAGCGATGGGCCACATCACATAGCTCCTCCAGGGGACATATAGCACCTGAGAGCGAGTGAGATGAAATAGGATATACCACCTTTTACTGTAAATAACTGAGAGACCGTGGATATCATTACTGAGGCACTAAGCAATACAGAATTACGAAATGTGTAGCACTCAAAATTAACACTGACTGGGATATGATATTTTTTGAACGTAATATATTAATATGAGAGGATGTAACATACAATATTAGCAACAAATAAATAATACTGCTTGCTTATCTCATGTTAAACCACCACAAACCCCTAGCAAAATATATATTATGAAAGAAAACCAAAGATAAACCAACACGCAACATGAGCGTGTAGCCCATTTCGTGACACTTACCGTCCATTGAGTGCACGGTCTCAAAGGCCACGATTTTGGGCGTCTTGGGGTCGGAGCCACTCAGCAGTTCCTCCAGGTGTTGGCTGTCGTTATGGCGGAAGATGAAGCGCTTGGCGCCACTGTTCCTTATGCCCTGGATCATTGAAGCGTGGTTCCCCATGTCAGAGTAGATCTCACAGCCTGTATTTCAAAGCAGAGAGCCCACAAGGCAGAATTAACATCTACCAGCAATTATAGAGTGTGTGCAATATAGTACAAAGAACATATTTTGGAAAATAGATTGGTGGCACTAATGTGACCACATTGCCCTTGAAAGCAATGCTGAAGTTCTGATTAGAATGAAACGTTATAAGTATTGACTATTCCTCTCATTGCTACCTCTCATCTAGCCTGGTCCCAGATCTGTTAGTGCTATCTTGTCAACTCCTATGGTCATTGTCACAAGTTAGCAAGATAGCACAAACAGACCCTGGACCATGCTACCTCTTATCCTCTGTCAATGTTTGACTTTTAGCATGGAGACCAGGGAGGGCCCTATGTTTAGGTTAACCTGGCAGCATTTTGGCTAGGGTGAAGAGGGTGGAGTCGTTGGCCACGAAGCAGGATGAGAAGACCAACGCTCCATCTTTCTGGTGGAGCTGGGCCAGTTCTTTTTCCAGCAGCACATGGAAGTTACTGGTGCCAGAGATGTTCCTGGTGCCTCCGGCACCCGCGCCATGCCTACTCAGGGCATCCCTGAGAGAATCCAAGAAGAATCACAGTCAAACATCACATCTTACACTAACCTCATCTCCAACACGTCAAAGAAGATATGTTATGGTTATTATTTTTATTTTTTCATAACAATTATAAAGACATTAAAATAAAATAATATATGTATATATATACAGCTCTGGAAAAAATTAAGAGACCATTGCAAATGTTTCTTAAATCAGCATCTCTACATGTATGACAGCCATTCCATACCAATGTCTGTTGAATTCCAACACAGGCACACCTCATTCTACTGAATTAGGTACTGATTAGGTGATCACATCCCAAATCTTATTTAACGAGGAAAAGTATAAAAACGACTGCTGTGGTCATCACTATCCTCTTGCAATAGGACCAGCTGGATGGCAAAAACAGTGCTAATAGTACCTCAAAAGTAATATTAATAAAAACATGACTATTGACCATGCCAAAAGAGCTGAAAAGGAAAGTTTTGAGTGAGGAAAAGAAGGGTTCAATTCTGGCTTTACTAGCAGAGGGATACAGTGAGCGTCAGGTTGCTTCCATCCTTAAAATTTCAAAGACGGCGGTTCATAAGAACAAGGTCAAGCAGCAGACATTGGGGACAACAAAGTTACAGACTGGCAGAGGGCGAAAACGACTCTCTACTGACCGGGATGACCACCAACTCATTCGAATGTCACTCAACAACCATAGGATGACATCAAGTGACCTACAAAAAGAATGGCAAACGGCAGCTGGGGTGAAGTGCACGGCGAGGACGGTTTGAAACAGGCTCCTAGGGGCAGAGCTGAAGTCGTGCAAAGCTAAAAAAAAGCCCTTCATCAATGAGAAGCAAAGAAGAGCCAGACTGAGGTTTCAAAAGACCATAAGGATTGGACCATAGAGGACTGGAGTAAGGTCATCTTCTCTGATGAGTCCAATTTTCAGCTTTGCCCAACACCTGGTCGTCTAATGTTTAGACGGAGACCTGGAGAGGCCTACAAGCCACAGTGTCTCGCACCCACTGTGAAATTTGGTGGAGGATCGGTGATGATCTGGGGGTGCTTCAGCAAGGCTGGAATCGGGCAGATTTGTCTTTGTGAAGGATGCATGAATCAAGCCACGTACAAGGTTGTCCTGGAAGAAAACTTGCTTCCTTTTGCTCTGACATTGTTCCCCAATTCTGAGGATTGGTTTTTCCAGCAGGACAATGCGCCATGCCACACAGCCAGGTCAATCAAGGTGTGGATGGAGGACCACTAGATCAAGACCCTGTCATGGCCAGCCCAATCTCCAGACCTGAACCCCATTGAAAACTTCTGGAATGTGATCAAGAGGAAGATGGATGGTCACAAGCCATCAAACAAAGCCGAGCTGCTTGAATTTCTGCGCCAGGAGTGGCATAAAGTCACCCAACATCAATGTGAAAGACTGGTGGAGAGCATGCCAAGATGCATGAAAGCTGTAATTGAAAATCAGGGTTATTCCACCAAATATTGATTTCTGAACTCTTCCTAAGTTAAAACATTAATATTGTGTTGTTTAAAAATGAACATGAACTTATTTTCTTTGCATTATTCGAGGTCTGACAACACTGCATATTTTTTGTTATTTTGACCAGTTGTCATTTTCTGCAAATAAATGCTCTAAATGACAATATCTTTATTTGGAATTTGGGAGAAACATACCTATAAATAGTAAAACCAGAGAAACTGATAATTTTGCAGTGGTCTCTTAATGTTTTCTGCAGCTGTATATAAAGATAACAAATACCAAATAGCAGCAGGTACAATTATCAGCAGCAAATGCAATTCATGTACAGTAGTTAGCATTATAACTTGGTGACAAATAGCAGCAGATACAATTTCATAATACAGTTATATTTTCAGAGGTTTTCGGATCAACTAGTACAATTATTATTTATATTTGGCATGTGATTAAGGAGTGGTTGTATGAATAGATCACCAGAAATCCATTATCTTATTGCATTGGCAAAATACTGTAGGTGCAAAAAGGTTCCTTTTCTGGTCCAACATTTCGGGCAATTTGGTGAGGTGTCTGGGAACATACGATTTCATTTAACATTCCAACTTGAAAATGAATTTGTAGTTACTTTCCTTAATATTCAAACTAGTAAGTGGGTAGTGTATCTTATTACAGATCTCAAGCCAGACCTCCTCATCAAATTCCATACCTAAATCGTTTTCCCACATCCTTTGAAGAGGAATAAAGGTGGATTCCTATTGTCTTGATAATGTGAGGTACATCTTAGCATTTATTCCTTTGATAGATATAGAATAATTATTAATTCTTCAACTTCTTACAACTGAGATCTCAGCTTTCCTTCTTTGATAATCATAAGGAAAACATTTCAGATTTGAAGATATCTAAAAAAAATCTGTACCAGGAATGTTGTATTCAGTACGGATTTCGATAAATTACTTAATTGTATTCTATCCACTACGGACCAGGTCAGCAAACGTCACAAGACCCAGCAAGCACCACCTATAGAGGTCGACCTTTGAGAACGCATTGGGCAGGTCAGGATTACAAGAGATAGACACAAGTAAAGAATACGTGTTTGAAATACCTAAGTACTTTCTACAGTCTGCCCATGCCATTAATGTGTTGTACATAGTAAAGGTCTTATTGTTATCACAAATATGTTAGAACCGATTAACAAACATAAGATTCTTTAGAGGTAAAAGGTGGCTAAATTGAGCTTCAATCTGAATATAGTGTCTGTCCAAAGTTCAAGACAACAAATTGCGAGTTTGGGCTGACCAATAATACAATTGGAAATTGGGCAGACCCAGACCCCCCATAGATTCAGGTTTGAGCAGAGTAGAGAACTTGATTATTTTTGTTACACCATATAAACCTTAATACAATTATTTTTTTAAAGAAAATAAAGAATAAGGTAAATAACAGGTCAACATCTTGATTATGTTTATCCTTCCAATCATAGTTACTGGGAGAGTGGACCAACGAATCAGGTCTTCTTTAATTTAGATAATTCTTTAGAACTGGGTTAACATTTATTCTCAAATATTTGAATCCATTTGGTTTCCAAGAGAAGGGACAGACCAAACTCAACTAATCTGTTAGCTGGCTTTTAGCAAACAGGCATTAGATTTGATAAAATTAGCTTTGTATCTAGAGAATGTACATATGTGGAATGGAGTTCACTGGATTGACAACATACAATATAATATCATCTACATATAAAGATAGCCTATGTTCCTGATCTGCAATAATGGGACCTCTGATACTCTCATTAGAAAGTATGGACTCTGCCAGCGGTTCTACGGCCATCGAGAAGAGAAGGGGGGACAGAGGACAGCCTTGCCGGGTCCCTCTACTCAGGGGAAATTCTTGTGACCTTAAACCATTGGTGGAGACCATAACTCTGGGACTGGTATAAATCGCTTTGACCCATTTGATGAAATTAGCATCCATATGACATTTTTGCAAAACAGAGAAAAGGAAATTCCATTCAACTCTGTCGAACGCCTTCTCAGCATCTAATGACAACAATATAGAAGGAGTCTTATGCTCATTTAAATGGTTGATAACATCAAACAGACGTCTAACATCCGATGAGTACCTGTTTTTTATCAATCCCGTTTGATCGGGTTTAATAAGCGAGGGTAATAGAACCTCTAGTCCTCTGGCTATCAATTTAGTTACCACTTTGTAATCAAAATTCAACAAACTTATCCGTCTAAAAGAAGAGCATTCTAATTGGTCCTTCCCACTTTTAAGCAAGACACTGATACAAGCTGTATTCATAGAATCAGGCAAAATTCCCTTAATATAAAAGTAATCTATCATAGCCATAAATATAGGACATAGTTCTGGCCAGAACTGCTTGTAAAATTCACCTGGGAAGCCGTCTGGGCCTGGGGATTTATTATTAGGCATAGATTTAATTGCTGCAAATACTTCCTCAGGAGTAAAAGGAGAATTGAGAAACGGCTGCTCTGGTTTGGATAGTTTCGGGAGAGAAATGCTGTCTAAATATGATTGTAGGTCATGAGGTGAATAGTTGGATTGTGATGTATACAAAGTATCATAAAAGCCATAAAAGGCTTTATTTATCAAAATTGGGTCATAGGTGACTGAGTTATTCTGTAAGCTAATGGCGTTAATCGTGCGTTCGGATTGTTTCTTTTTTTTTCAATTGATAGGCAAGGAGCTTACTTGGTTTATTATCATACTGGTAATGTTTTTGTCTAATGCGGAACATTTTATCATTAATACAGCAAGTTTGTTCATGATTTAGTTTAGCCCTGGCTATGGTCAACTGCTTTGAACTTTCTAATACAGTTCTGGGGGTAGCGTAAGAATATAATGTAGTATGATGAGCCATACATGTAGAATATCTAATAGAATATCTAAGGAATTGAGTCGGTTGAATTTCGACTTTGGTCTTTTTGCACTGGGTCATGGGCTCAATCTCAATTTGTGTTTCTATGATTCCTCACATCCTATCTCCTCGCCGCCTTCTCAACCATATTGGAAGAGAAGGTCCAAACTCCCTCCCCTTCTCCAATGTGTTTTGAGGAGGCAAGGAGAGAGGATGTGAGGGATCAAGAAAAGATGAATTGAGAAAGAATTCTGATGTCTGGCTTACTGAATCCCGTTGAGGACCCGGGGGTGGCTACCCATGCCTAGGTAGTCGTTACTGCACCAGACAGACACCTGGGAGCCTTCCCGCCCGGCAATGGAGTAGTCTTCGGCAAAGGGAAAGACGTCAGCGCGCCGATTCACCGTCTTAAAGATGCGGTAGGTGTGGTCATTCTTCTTCTCAAAGATCTTCCTGTAGAAGAAGCCATCGTAGTCGAAACTGGGGCCAACTGGAGGGGTTAAAAGTATAATAGTGTCAGCGATATTCTGTTGTGAAACAGACATACATATAGTTTCTCAAATTATGTGATTTTAAATCCAATAACTTGGTTAATTTGATGAAGAATGAATCATCATGTATCCATTGAATGAAAAGAAAATTGGGTCCCACTCTACATACCGGTAGTAACTTGATACATCTGTGATACCTGATTGTGGTTTATGCAACTATGCATTGACATACCATTTACAAATCAACTCAAATTGCTTGCGTTTAAACCTCATTTCGCTGTGCATAATTATTGCATAAGATTACTTGATTGTAAACAGGCCTATACTTGGTAATCTGTTCCCTTTTAAAGCTGTGTAAACAGATAAGTTGTATGTAATACAACGTATGTAAATGTATTTACACAGTACCTGCCAATGAAATAATCATTAAATTGGTATCAAATTACCACTTAATATAAAGTGTGACTGAAAACAGTTCTGGGTGATGTACTGTATTATATCAGTATAATTTATTGTAGAACTACAGTGTAACTTCTGCTCTGATTGAGTCAATGCAAAAGAGTCACACTGGTATTATGAACTGATTCACCTATGTTGTCCTTCAGGAGGTGGGACACACTGGGGGTTTGGACCATCGGCATGATGGAGTCCTCGAGTTCCTTCAAAAGAGAACTCTGCATACCTGTGACAGAGAGCAGGGGTATAACAGTCTGTACTATACTGTATTTCTCATTTATTTTTACCCCAGTTTGTTTCTTTGTCTTAAGTGGGGCAAGTGTACATTGTTTCACTGTGTTTAGAACTTGGACCTGTTGTTTGTGTCTACCAAAGTGTGTCTGCTGTGTTTGCGCTGGTGTTTGTGTCCATTGAGCAAGTTTTGGAAGCTAAACACCTAGGTATAACATTACATGGTCAATTATCATGGTCAAGTCATATTGACAAAATTATTGTGAAGATGGGGAAGGGTATAAAAAGATGTTATAAAAAGATGTGCATTTTTTTACACAATAATCAACTGTACTAGTTGTTCAGGCTCTGGTCTTGTTCCATCTTGATTACTGTCCGGTAATAGGGTCAAGTGCAGCAAAGAAATATCTAGTAAAGCTACAGAGCAGCACACCTTGCCCTTAACTGCACATACAGAACTAACATCAACAACATGCATGCCAGTCTTTCCTGGTTGAGGGATTAACTGCTTCTCTTCTAGTTTTTATGAGAAATATTGCTGTGATTAAAATTTCGGATTGTCTGCATAATCAAATAACATTCAGGTCAGACACCCATACATACCCCACAAAAAGGAAACGGGAAAGGGGGATACCTAGTCAGTTATAAAACTGAATGCATTCAACTGAAATGTGTCTTCCGCATTTAACCCAACCCAAGACCACCAGAGGTCTCTTCACAGTTCCCAAGTCCAAAACGAATTCACGGCAATGTACAGTATTATACAGAGCCATGATCGCATGGAACTCCATCTCCAATTACTCAAGCAAACAGCAAAATTACCTTTAAAAAACGTATTAAACAACATCTCATGGAACGGCGGGGACTGTGAGGGGACACACACACAAACACACGCACACACAGACACACTCTAACACACATTATTTTGTTGTTGTATTCTTTGTATTCTTTTTTAGTTGTATTGTTTGTATATCATTGTATTTAAATTTGTGTGTCTGCCCTTGTCTATCAGTGTATCAGTGTTTTGTTACTTGTCATGTTTTGTGTTTTTTGTGGACCCCACGAAGAGTAGCTGCTGCTTCTGCAAAAGCCAATGGGGATCCAAATAAACAAATAAACTACTATTGTGTTGTCTTTACCTGGGTTAGACTCTGTCGGGACGTCCTCCTGAACCTCAGGGCTCGCTCTTACCATGCCAATCTGGTTGGAGACAAAGGGACATCCCTTGGACATGGAGACAGCCACCTGGGTTGCTGATTGGGCAAAATGACGCTTTGAGTCCACCCTCAGGGGCAGGAGGCCTGCTGACTGGGTAGAATGGATGGTTGTCTTCCTCTCCTTGGGGATTGAGGCACAAACAGTGATCTGGCGGGCAATCATGGGGCATCGGTCGGCCATGGAGAGGAGGGTGGCCCCAGTTCTCAGCAAAACAGGCTTGGGGGCCGACTTCAGGAAGGGGCAGTGGTGAAGGAAAGCGGCCATGACTCTTGAAGCAGTTTTGACTCTGGATCAACACATAAGACATAGGACATAAGACCTTTCAAACATCAAATTCGGACACTTTGTATGGTATAGATGTAGTATCTATGCAACATCTAATTTACACCAGTTTAGGACTACTTTGAATCGAACTGTCAGCAATATAAGGTTTTAGGGATTTGAAATTGTTTCTGAAATGTGGGAACAGTGTGGCCCATTATTTACGTTTGAAGAAAATACAGAGTGGATGGAATAGGTGCGCCTGCGGGCGCGGCTTATCTTGTCTGTTCAGGCGCGCGCTTTTCATGCTCTGCGAGGTGCAGAAGCAAGATTCCGACAAAAAGACGTCATTGCTCAGGGACTGTGGACGATTATTAGTGAGCATCAGTGTATTTAAAAATCGAATCTTAGGAGACGACGTGGATGTCTTTTAGTTTTTGATGACAAAACACAGAAATATTTGGCCTATACTATTTCTGTCACCGTGACCAAACTAGTTTATAAAGTCTTAGCCTAATTAATAAAAAATCCAAACCAGCCATTTCGGATTATTATAAGAATAATAAAGGTTTCCGCACGCATTGGTTTAGTGGTTGTTTTGTTTGGAACTAACTAATCCTTAGCTTTAACGAGCATATAATGTAAAGAATATAGGCTACTCAGCTGGAATGCGGTTAGGAGATAAGAAGCCAATTCTCAGCATCTGTGGTTTATTCTGGTGGTTTAAGGTTTGATCTCCAAGTTAGTCTATCTAGATCCACAGCAGCTGAGCTCTATGAGGCCATTATTCGGTCAAACGTCCCAGGGAAGTAAACCATTGATCCTAATGCTTGAGGAGTAACGACCAAACACAGCTTACATGTATTCACATTCAAGTGACACACTATGTGCATTCCTGTAGTTCATCTATGGTTTTAGGGTTAGCTTCTTTATGTATTTTCTATAGCTTTCTTTATGTCTTTGTTGTTGTTGTTGTTTAGCACTTAGAGATGATAAAATGAGAAGCACTACATGAAATGTATTTGGCTGTTATCTATTATTTATATGAACTGGACATGTAGGCTAGATGTCAACGACCATATAGACACACAGCAAGCTTACTTAATAGGTTCCTTTAGCCTGTAAGTGTAGAATTGCCTAATTTGAAGTATCATACGCAATAATATTATGCTAACGAAATTGCTTAGGGCCAATCAAATAGAATAATTCAGAACATCTTACCTGTTGACCTGCACTGAGGACGAACTTCAAAACAGCAATAGACAGAGATGCATCTGTCGTCAAAAGTTAGGGCAGTGACGTTGTCAGCATTATGCAATATTCTGCGAAAATGATTATTGTTCACACCCATACGTTTTCACGTAGGGGGCCAGGCTGGGGACTAGGAGTAACCAAGTTGTAAAAGGACATGATGGATTTTAAGGATAGCCTAACCCTAATGCTTTTTGTCTAATTGCTGCGGTTTGTGATGTTGGGCCTATAGGCAATTAATAAAAGTGTAATTACTGTCAAATATAGGCCTACAAAAACAAACACGTCTGTGCAATTTATATTTAATCTTAACCTTAATATACTGTATGAATAAAATACATCTTCAGTCCAGCCTATAGTGGTATCTGAATGTTACATTTGTGTTTAACATTGTGTCATACCAAAGACACAAAGTGCTCATTATTATTATTATTATTATCAGCTCTCTCTCTATCACTCACACACATCTTTATCATATAATTAAATAAAATACTTTTATATAATTATAAAGATGTAGCAATATAATGTATCTCTATGATCATCATTTTCCTCCTTTTCAATTGCAGTTTATTCAAAGGCTCTCGTTAATTAGACAGGTTGGGTGTCATGGCCTTAAAAATGTGGGCTACACAAGTGCTCGCCAGCAGATGGTGCGTTCCACATATCTTTTCATCAATAGCAATTCGCTCGTTACAGTGGAAAGGCGGAGCCGGAGTTTCTTATGTTGTCAAATCAAATTGCTGTGCAAACTGGCCAGCAGCCTCCTCGAACGGAAAGCGAGACGGTAGCCTATCTTCATATGAGCAGAATCAGAGGATAGACCACGGTCATCATAAACAGGACCAAGGACTGTCATTCATTCAGAGTTAATTAATTGCATCCAAATAGATTTTCAAGATGCTGGCATGCACAGAAATGATCACAATGTGTCTTCAGTCTGCTAAGCATGACCACCACAGGAAACAGCAGCAGCTCCAGCAGAAGAACCAAAACCAAGGAATCTCTATCTTCCAAGATGTAAGTAGCCCAGTCTGCATCCATCGTCAATATTTTAAATAAATGGAAGCATTTTACTGAGTATGTCGCATCATTTGACATAATTTTTTATCATGTTGTCAATGGCATTATGCACTTTGAAATTATATGCCAGGCAGCTGTCAAAGCGTTCAAAGATGCTGCAGGTCGACATTAAAAGTAATTTATCTGTTGAACCAACAAAAAAAAGCCATTAGAAATTCTATCAAATAATGCTATAATGATTTTTTATTTGCTTTAATTGCACTCTTGCATGTTATTGTTAGTGTGAAAATCATCTGATGTTAACAATACCACGAAATCTCACATCAAATTAACACATCTGCTCGATGTTTTATTTTAAGACCCATAACAAAAAAACGGCTTTAGGCTCTGTTATATATATAGCATACCATTTCGCCTACCATTGGATCTCACATGGTCATAAGGGTCATGACATTGGCGGTAGAATAAATGAATGAATGGATGAACAAAGGAATAAATGAATGAATAAATGAATAAAATATTAACCAATTCACTAATTCAAGATCATCGTTGACGTAATGCTTTTTTCTTTGTTTTTGTTATATTCTTTTATGTGATATGTTTCTATTGTACATCACAGGAAAGAGGAGGAATAAGGAAACCTTGCATGCTTAAAGTGTTTGGATTTTACTGCTATTAACTTGACCTAGATTGACAATGGTCTGTTGAGGCATCTTGGCCAGATTTTGGGTTGGATTGGTCATGCTTGCTCCAGCAGCATAACAATGCTCATTATTAATGTTACTAATTATCTAAACTCCATGTCCGAAAAAGGAGTAGCCTGTTCTGATAGGCCTGTAGCAAGAAGTATTGGTCATTAATAATTTACATAAAAGACAGCCTACAGTACACCATTGCCTTCAAGTCCCGTTTCCGCAGTAAAAACAATTAAATTACCCTATCTCTTTATAGAGTTTATGCTAAGGCGAATGTAGCCTACACTGTTCTGGCTACTAACAAAAAAATCGAAAAAATATATATGATTTCAATAAATTAGGTGATGGAGTGCTTTTGCATATGCATTTTGATTATATATTTGCCTTTAGGTAGGCTATTACATAATAAATAATCCTATAATAAGTGCAAGGCATGAAATTGTAACCAATGGAGGACTTTTGTGTGTGCATTTTGATTGTTTGCCTACAGGTAGGCTATTACATAATAATAATAAAATGATGAAGAGAAGATGACACTGCAAGTAACCAATGACCCTCAATAGCGTCACTGTCTTGTTGCCTCAGCCAGCCAGATATCCCTCCAATCGGATTTAAAGAAGAGCGTTTTCCACATTTAACTGATTCAGGTAATTGGCATATAACAGGAGCAGTAAGTGCAGTATAAGTGCACATTAAAGGATGAAATGCAATCAACTCCCATTCACTGAGTCCACTGTAATATATGAGATGGCATCTCCAAAAAAGGCTTTTTCTATGGTTGGGTAGTGGATGTTCATCTATCCTACTGTATCCTAATGAATGCACATTGAGCAGTTTACATGCATAGAACCATCTGTGCTTGACGTCTAACCCACAGGGTTGCCAATTTAATGTTCTCCAGTTAGACGAAGCCCAAACCCTTTAAAGCACAGTTGGCAGAACAAACAATTCACTTGAATGACACATGCTGTCATTGCTTTATCAACACATGTATTGTTCTCCAGCTAGATTAAGCAGTTGAAGCCAAAAAACCCTCACAGTAGTGCAAAAGGTAAAACTGTCTCACCTCAGTTTATGTGGTCTGGACAATTCTGTCACCACCTCAGGAGATGTTTACAATCTGGCTGCCGGTAAACCAAAGTCTGTTAGAAATGGATTGATCTAGGAAATGTGTGTAGTCTACAGTGTGTGTTGGACCAAAGAAGAGATCGACAACCAGAGATTTAATACGATGTGCACAAAGGAGAAGCAAGTTCTGAGGGACCCAGAGTCTTGTCTCATTTTATATCCAGAACAGAAAACAATGGAACAATAGCCTAACAATATGTTTTCATGACAGCAACAGTAGGGGTAAAATAATAAAACCAAGGCCAACATATAGCCTACAATGGCGGGGCGTTAATTATATCTATGCTGGAGCTGGGGTTAGGTTTACGTAGGTATAGTGTTGAGGTTGGGATTAAGGGGTAAGGTAAGGTTAGGGTTTGTGGACAGTAAGTTTAAAGTGTCTTCACATCCCTTTCACAGTTATCACATTTTGCTGCTTCAACTTTAACACTAGCCAGCTATTTATTGCAGATCAACAGAGTTGCATTTGATAGTTTGTTGACAGTTTGAGCATGTAGACGAGAGACAATCTATAGGGGACTATCCAATAGCCTAACTATCCAATACATTTGGACTTCCAATAGGGTTCCGCGAATGAGGATATTGACTAATAAAAAGCGAACCAAGGTTTAGTAGGTGTGTACAACCAGTAAGTATAAATATGTTAAAGATAAATAGTACTGTAGGCTAGGTCTGCATATAAAAGATGTAGCAAAGAGTTGACTTCATTTTTCCATGTTTTAAATTATTTTCACTACACATGGGGATGGGATTGTATTTTTATGCCTGATGCTTACAGCAGTTGTTTTCCCCCTCGTTTAATTTTCCTTCCGATTTAACGAGGGAACGGCGCTGCACTCTCAGTACAGTGTTGCAGGGAAATGTTCCTACTTATTTATTCTGCCTTCTTCTCAAAGGCCTCATTAGAGT